CAATAACAAAATGCTAGTGATTCAGAGTCCCCATAAAAAACATCCATCTATAGTGATTTATGAATTTTCTAGCCAGTCTTCAATCTAGCTGGACAACTGTGGGTCTCACTCACCCTGTCCCTCTGTTCCCACATCAGCTTTCTGCATCTTAGCTCAGACACTGGTGCCGATGGTGGGACTTGGGTGCTAATTTACACATGGGTCTGGTAGAGGGTAACTTTGACACAGGAGTTAAGAACTCCACTTAAAATCAGGCAGGCCGCGGAGTTGACGATACAGGTCCCGCCTACCTCCATCCCGTAGGACTGTGGATGGTTTCAGCTCCTAGAATGAAGTCGGAGGTCTCGTGGGCAGAATGCCCTTGATCCAGAGACAAGCTTCTTTTCTTAGGCTGTTGAGCCCTACATATCTGTGGTTGGTGTCCATGAGAGTCAGAGCCTATACCAGGCCACCATCTGCTTCCCCCTCCAGACAAGATGGGGAGGAGTGCCCTGAGGTGCTGTCCTCCAGATGTGGCGTGGCTGCTGCACACATGAAGGACGTGGTATAGTGGCTGACACATGAACCCACAGCGGCTATAGTTGCCAAACAAGACCTGCACAAAATTAAACATGGAGGGCCAGCTGTGGTGAACAGACCTTTAATCCCAGAACTAAGGAAGCGGAGGAAGGTGGATCTTTGAGTTCAAGGCCAGCCTGGTCTACAGAGTGGGTTCTGGGATATCCCGGGCTACACAGGAAAAATCCCCCCCCCCCTCTCTCTCTCTCTCACACACACACACACACACACTCCAGAAAAGAGAGGAAGGAGGGACTCTCAAGGCCTTATCCCTAACTGAGGAAACATTGACAGTCGGTGGGGGCCGAGGGAGAGTCACTTTGTGAGTATGGCCACTGGTAGGTTCCTCGGGCTCCAGGGGATGACCCAGTACTCATGGGCGGGCACTGGGTTTATTCAGTGAGTAAACAGATAAGTAAAAAGGAGGACATGAAGTTGGTGGGGAAACTTAAATGTGATAGATAGCAGGGTCCTGGGGAGACTGGAGGGGACAGTGAAGGGTGGAAATGACCAAGATATATTGTGCTGCATGAGAATGTCAAAGAATATATAAAAATAGAACATTTTAAAAGACTTTGAGAAACAGGGAAATCAGACTTGCCTTCTAGGATGAAATTCAGATCTGGTGGCTAGATAGGAGTTCGAGCCTGGAGAGAAAATTGTACGGTTGCGGTGCAGTCATCTTGTGAGCGAGAACTGGCTCTTGCATTTTCTCGCTGCTGCTTTCTGTCTGGCAGCGGGAGAGCACACATCACAGGGAGCAGAGTTCGAGGCCAGCCTGGGCTATTCAAGTGCTATCTCCAACAACAAGTTGCATTAATTAATTAATATATACAATTAAAAGTGAAAGCTTTAGAGGGTATCCACTCCCTCCAAAAGTCACCACCTACTCATGTGGTGGCCCTGAGCGGTGATCCTGGGACATCCCTTCTTCAGTCTGAGAGCGATTACACAGGTTCCCTACAGCAGTGTATGACCCGGTTTCAAAGTCTGGTCTCCACCTCAGTTATTGGGGGGGGGCATGACAACACTCTCCTTTCCTCTCCTCTCTGGGTGCCCCGTGGCCTCCCCCATCTCCTGGAGCATGCTATCACAGCCTGTTTGTGAGCACAGAAGCCGAGAGCGGTAATTAGGGACTTTCCTCTAAGGAGTCAGGACAAAAGTCACAGGAGCGCCAGCTGAATTCATAGTTTGGGTAGCAAGTAAGAGTGTGCTGTGCTTTCCGGGAAAACTTGCATTGTAGCCAATGCCTAGAAGGGTGGGGAGGCGGACAGTGGTCTGGATGCCAGGGCCTGGCGAGGAGAACCCAGCAGCAAAAAGGGGAATAGCTTTTGGGGGTGAGCAAATAAACTCTCGCTGGCTCCACACGTTTACATCTTCTGCGTTGTCTCAGCTCAAACCTGGAAGTGAGCTCAGGGTACAGCACCAGGGCCTTGCGTGAAACTGCCTGTCTGGGTGACTGAAGAGCGGTTGGGTTCACACTAGGGGTTAGGCTTCAGTTCAGCCACCTTGAGGGGAAGCCCCCTAAACTATAGGCTTCATGAGGCTTCACAGTAAAAACTGGGGACCAGTTGCTCCTCAAGTTGGTGTGTGGGCCCCATGGATATCAGTGCCCCAGTTTTGTTCTGGCCTTCTGTGCTGTTGTTCCTAGCTATGGCTTCCCCCTCATGGTCTAGGCTATTGTTGGGGTGCTGGCCCTCACACATCACCCCAGAGCTCCCTTTAGCTCTGTGACTCCATTGTCTTTGTTCAGCCTCAGTTCAGCATCTTACAACGAAAAATGTCATCTTTGTATGAATGGTGGTGCGCACAGGTGAAATAAAACCGCCGACAATTGGAAGAAGAGAAAAATCCCCACAGCCAAGCAAAGCCGCAGAAGCCTCATCCTGGGATCTTTGTTCCTGAGGCTTTACTGAGTTCTCTTGAGGTGTTCAGGCCCTGCCTGAGGCCCTGCTCTGGAGAAAAGGTTGACAGAGTTCCTTTCCCATGAAACATAGCGTCCAGCAGGAGCTAAACAGATAATAGACGACCGTCAGTTGACAGGCTGCCTTCTGTACATGAATCTTCAGATGTAGCTTTGCATAATTAATGCCAAGAGCTGCCGGTGCCAAACACCGCTCTGTGAAGCCCATAAGCGTCCTAGACAGTCAGCCTTGCTCATCTTTGATATAAATTCCATCCATCAAAAAGTCCCTCACCAGGACTCGTGGCTCACACCTCTAAGCCCAGCAAAAGCACCGCTGTGATACAGAGGTCAGCCCGGATTATGTAGTGAGTTCTAGGCCAGCCTAGGTTACAGTGTGAGACCCAAACAAAGTGAATGAACAGAACCACCTTTGAATGCCTGTCCCACGGACCTGGGGAAGGAGGAGGGTGGGGGAGAGGAGGAGACGTGAAGGTCCACCCTAAAATTCACCCGCATCTCTCTAGTCAGCACCACGAAGGCTGCACGCAGTAAAATCCTAAATCTGATTTTGCATCGCTTGGTGGGGGAATGTTTAGGGGACTCTCGCCTTCTTAAGCAGCGTGTGAGGAGTAATTCTGTGGTTCTTTAGGCATCTGGAGAACAAGCTGGGGAACTTGGGGCCTGGCCTTTACTCTTCCTATAGAACCCTCAAGGAGTGGTCCCGAAACCCATTTCCTATGCTTGCATAAGCAGGAGGATTCTAAACCCAACCCATCACTAGTGTCACCGCCAACTCTGCAGCCATTGCTGCGCAGTGCTCAAGCTATCTGGGGTGAAGGACCAGTGTTTCACTTAACAACAATAACAATATTCTTCGTTCTTGGTGTCTTAGCTAAGATTTCTATTGCTGTGATTAAACACCATGACTGAGGTAACCTGCAGAGGAAAGGGCTTACTTCAGCTTACACTTCCAGGTGACAGTCCCTCAGGGAGGGAAGTCAAGGCAGGGACTCAAACAGGGCAGGAGCCTGGAGGCAGGAGCTGATGCACAGGCCAAAGAGGGGTGCTGCTTACTGGCGTGTTCATCCTGCTTTCTTGTAAAGCCCAGGACCACCAGCCCAGAGGTGGTACCACCCACAATAGGCTAATCACATCAATCACCAATTAAGGAAATACCCTACAGGCTTGCCCAGTATAATGGAGGCATGCATTTTCAGCTGGAGTTCCCTTCTCTCAGATGACTATAGCTTGTGTCAAGCTGATTAAAAAACAAAAAACCAAATCCCTACCCACCAAAAAAACTAACCAGCACTCTGGGTATAGTGTCTTATACCTGTAATCCCAGCACTTGAGAGGCTGAGGCAGGAGGATTATTAATTCAAGCCTAGCTAAGGCTACCGAGACAGCTTGTCTCAAAGAGGACTGGGGAGATGACTTATTGGGTAAAGCTCTCATCACACAGGCATGAGGACCAGAGTTGGGATTCTCAGAACTTCACAAAAACGGGTTGGGTATGGCAACCAGTTCAGAGGGTAGAGACTGGGAATCCCGAGAGCCAGTCTAACCAAAGCAGTTTGACTCTGAGTTCAGCCAAAGACCCTGCCTCAGTATACAAGGTAGAGCTCAATCACTGAAGACGCTCAGTATCAACCTCAGGAACCTACATGCACACACGTGTGCATCCATCCGCATGTAAACTCAAGCATTCATTCATATGTAGAACATAAGCAGGAGAGTCATCTATAACTCAAGGGCTGGGAAGGTGGCGCAGCCGTTAAGAGTTCCCAGCACCCATCTGTGCTCATAATCATCTAACTCCAGTTCCAGAGGATCTGACGACCTTGTCTGACCTCCAGTCATGTGATACACAGACAAAAATGTAGGCAAAACACCCATACAAATACAACTAAAGCAAATAAAAATAAAAGCTTTTAAAAATCATTTGAACAGTTATGTATAACTCAGACATCTATTACTAGATTGAAGGGTAAAACTCCTCCCTCTGCTTAAAAACCTTTTATAAGCTAACTTAATTCTTGGAGTTTGCCTACAGCAAAAAATAAAAAGGAAAGAAAGAAAAGAAAAGAAAACCAGAGCCTTTGCTACCAGCCTCAAGAACTGTGCTTTTGGCTATCCTGGCCCTGGGGCCCAGGGTCAAAGGCCACTGGGGAACTGCTGTCCTTCCCAGCTCCTTGTTAGGGCGGTTATAAAAGAGAATGAGGAAGCTCCCACAGGAAGACAGCAGCCTGGTTGGGCTGTGTCCCTCACACCTCTCGCTTGGTTAGTTGCTTTGCGAGCGGATGATTTCCCTACCAGAGCTCCATGCACAGGTGAAGACTTTATTCTCTACCTGCAGTTGCATCTGGGGAAGCGAAAGGGCTCGACTCCGCCTCCAGGTCCCTTCTCGAAGGCAGCTTTGGGTCTACACCGGTTTGCTCGGCAAAGCAGTGGGCCAGAGAAGTGGTGGCCACCTCTGGCTGGCTATGGCCTGGCCAGACCCAGGGAAGGTGAGGTCATTGTGGACTCTGTGTTGCAGTTCTCCAAGGAGAGGCACATCATGGACAGGACCCCTGAGAGGCTGAAAAAGGAACTCGAAGAGGAGCTGCTGCTGAGCAGCGAGGACCTGCGCAGCCACGCCTGGTACCACGGCCGCATCCCGCGACAGGTATGCGCTCTGCTCTCCTCAGGCAATGTCGTACTGATGATGTTGTTGGGTCCAGCCCACAGATCATAAAACTCTAGTACATATAGTGACTCAGCTTAGGCCTGGCTCTAAAGAGACCTTGGGAAGAGCCAACAGTGGGATTCTAAATGCATTTCCAGTTACAGAGGAAAGGCCAGCGCTCCTGGGAGCTACATACATGTGGGCAGGAGGCTGCAGCGGCAGTACCAGCTGCCGGAAGTAGGTGGAAGGCTAAGGTTCAGATAATTAACCTCTTGGCCCAGTGGCTAGAGCTTCCTACCATTTGGACCCTTTTTGTGAAGGCAGTGACTTACCTCAGATGACCAGGCAGGTGGCACAGACTGACAAGGATCGGGAGGGAGAGGAATCATCCCAGGGACCGTGGCGCCATGACCCAGGATGTCTTTCATGTGGTTGTCATCAATAATTTTTTAATAGTATAAGAATTGAAAAATAGACTAAGTCTGCATAATTGAAGTGTCCAGTTACCCATGTTTTTTTTTTTTTTTTAAGTGTAGTCTGGCCAGTCATTAGCCAGGGACAACAGGACAGGAAATGAATGTCCAAGTCTACACTGGTGGCAGGCAAATATTGTCTTTGGTGTAACAGACTTCACCTTTTAAAATTGTTACATTTATTCATTTATTTAGTGTGTGTGTGTGTGTGTGTGGAGTGTGCCTCACCACACATGTGGAGATCCGAAGACAGCTTGTGGGAATTCTCTCTCCCTTCCCACCATGTGAGTTCTAGGGATCCAAACTCAAGTCATCAGACTTGACAGCAAGTACCTTTACCTGCTAAGCCATCTTGCCAGCCCAAAATTTACTTTTTTTTTTTCCTAACTGTCCTAGAACTCGCTCTGTAGACGAGACTTGGCCTTAAACTCACAACAATCCACCTGCCTCTGCCTCCCGAGTGCTGGGTTTAAAGGTGTGTGCCACCCTTGCCCAGTTTAGTCCCAAATTTCTTAACACTATCAAATAATTCTTATTCTGATCTTGATTTTTTTGTATGTGTGCATGTATGTGCGTAATCTTAAAATTGATTGTAGAGGGGACTGAAGAGATGGTTTGGCGGTTACTGCTCTTCCAGAGGACCTGGGTTCAATTCCCAGCAACCACATGGCTGTTTACAGCTGTTTGTAACTCCAGTTCCAGGGGACCTGACACCCAAGGCAAAACACCAATGCACATAAAATAAAAATTGAGTACAGGAAATTCAGATAAGAAAAAAGAAAATTCAACTCTTCTCCCCAATTGTCTCCCCTGGAAATAGTCTCTCTATGAATATTTTGGTGCATATCTCCCCAGACCTCCTCTATCAAGTAGGGGGTCTTCCTGCTTTCCGTGGCCCACTTTCTTCACCTAATGATGTGGCCTGGGAATTCACTCCGGCTGTGAAACATCCTCCTGCCCCAGTGCACACGAGTGTATGCCCATCACACAGCTGCACCACAATGTATTGGGTACTTAGAGCGTTTCCAGCAGTCTGACCAGCATCCTGTAAGATAACTACCATGTTCAGACCTATAATTCTTCCTACTGGCTCGATTCCGGGAAATGGAATTTCTATGTGAAAACATATTTTAAGGCCAAGATGCAATTTCAAAGTAACCATGGTAGCATACTATTCTGAGCTAGCAGAAGTATAGCATCACTTGGATGCTAGAATATCCTAGAAAAAAAAAAAAAAACGACATCACTGCTGTCCTTAGTGTGCCGGGAGGATGAACTCAGTAGTGTGCCATCCTGGACTGGTAACTGAAGCCCCTTAACAATGATAACAGTATGCCAGCGTTCTATCCCTTTGACACTTTTAGCCCCTCTATAGGCAATAGCATTATCTATATCTCATAGATGATGTAACCGAGCCACAAAGAGCTTATGTAATTTGTCTGGTGACACATCCAGGACAGAATGTAAACCTTGATGGTCAGCTCTGAAATGACTTACACAGTATAGGTCTCTGCTGTAAACGTCACCATCATAGTGGGTACCTACTTGGGGGTATCCATGGTGTTACAGGCATTGTAAAACTAGTGTTTTAAATATTTTATATATGCAAATATATTATCTTTACAATAACTTTGTGAGATGAGGGAACCTCAAGCAACTTTTTTTTTCTAGCCTCCTAGCAAGTCCAGAACTCACCATGTCATCCCGGGGCTCACCCTGCTGTGCAGATGGGAATCTTAAGACAATGTCTAGGGACCAAAACAGCCTCCTGCTCTTCCTCCCTTCCTGCTTAGAAGGAGAATCAGACCCACAGGGCACACACTCTCCTTTCTTCCTGCTGTTTTACATCTGTCTTGTTCTTGTGACATCTTCCTGACCGCTCTCATTTTAAAGATAACCTTCCCGTCTCCCTTCCAGAGTTTTCTTTCCCTTCACAACACCTGACATATTCCAGTGGCTGTCTGTCCTGAGATGGGAGTGGCTACAACACATAGAAAGTCCCTGAAGAAGGACACTTAGTCACTACTGTGTCCCTAAACCTGCAGGCAGTAGCACTGGGCACGTAGAGGATGGGCAATAAATAGTTGGGGTGTTATATTTTTGAGAGAGGGCTGACCTCCAGCGTGTTATGTGTCCCGGGCTGGCCTCAAGCTGACTATCCTGTTTTAGTGTCCTGAGCACTGGGCTTACAGTTGTGCATGGCCTTACACAGCTGGTAAATACCTCTGGAGTGCGACATTTAACAAACTGAAGATCTGACTGCAGGGGAGTGCTAGGAGATGGCTCAGTGGATAAAATAGTCATCTCGTAGCACAAGAATCAGTCCTTAAATCCACATAAAAACGGGGGAAGGAGAGAAGGGAGAGAGAGAGAGGAAGAGAGAGAGAGAGGAAGAGAGAAGAAAAAAAAAGGAGGAAGAGCCAGGTGTGGTAACACAGGCAATGGGGAGGCAGAGAGAGGCAGATTCCTGGCTTGCTGGCCTAGTGAGACTACTTGGAGAGGTTCCAGGCCAGTGGGAAGCCCTGCCTCAAAAAAAAAGATAGATTGTGTCTATGGCTCGATACCCAAGGTCTCTGCATGGATGCACACACATGGCACACATACACACACAAAGTCTGACTTCTGCTAAACTCCTGAGAAAATATGTTGCCTTTCCTGCTCCTCACCCACTGTTTTGTCTACAGGTATCTGAAAACCTGGTGCAGCGAGACGGTGACTTCCTGGTTCGCGACTCCCTGTCTAGCCCGGGAAACTTTGTCCTGACCTGTCAGTGGAAGAACCTCGCTCAGCACTTTAAGATCAACCGGACTGTTCTAAGGCTCAGCGAGGCCTACAGCCGCGTGCAGTACCAGTTTGAGATGGAGAGCTTTGACTCCATCCCTGGGCTGGTGCGCTGCTACGTGGGCAACCGGCGGCCCATCTCCCAGCAGAGCGGTGCCATCATCTTCCAGCCCATCAACAGGACAGTGCCCCTCTGGTGTCTGGAGGAGCGTTATGGTACCTCACCGGGCTGCGGCCGGGAGGGCAGCTTTACTGATGGAAGGCCAGATGTGGCTAAGAGACTGAGCCTCACCACCACCGGTAGCATTCAGGCTCGGGAAAGCTTGCCCCGGGGAAACCTGCTCAGGTAGGTCTGAGGGGTGCTGGGGGCCCAGCTCAGGCCAAGGAGTTGAGGATATTGCTACCCTCCGTGTGAGTGGGGAGTGTTACAAGGTGTGTGTGATTAGTTCCCAGTTAAAGAGCGTGAAAAGCCAGTGGTGGAACCCGGTGTGTAATGCATGCCTATAACCTCAGGGCTTCAAGGCTGAAGTGGGGAGATTGCCCCAAGTTCAAGGCCTTCCTAGATTACAGAATGAGACCCCGTTTCAAAAACAAAAACAGCAACAAAAGTCACAGGGGCTGAGCAGGGGGGGGGGAGGCTGACCTGAATGTATGGGGATGTTTGGGGGACACTGCAGAAAAAGAGGGGAAGACAGCCAAGGGCCAGAGGAGCCTGGAGGGTTGAGGGCTCAGTCTAGAACAGAGGGCTATGTAAAGAAGGGGTGGCGCAGGGGTAATGGTAGAGGTGTTTGGCAGACTAAGGTGCTACAAAAGCTTGGTATGTTGAACAAATCCTACACCAAAACTGGGCAGCACTAGGCACGGACAGAGGAGAGAGACTAAATGAAGCAAGCAAGTCGGAGAGAGTTTCAGAAGGGGCCCAGGCTGAATGGGAGAATGAGAGAGAAGCTAGGCTTTTGGGGTCTTGGGGGTTGGAGGGAGACAGAGAAGACCGCCTAGGCGACACAGCCGTGACTCTGGGAAGGGGGTGTGTCTTGAAGGAAAAAGTCATTTCATCTGAGGAGGGACCGCGGCTGTGCAGGTGTCAGCATCCAGCAGGGGTCAGTGTTGAGGACTGGGAACTGAGAGCCCAGAAAAGGGTTTGGCTTAGAGAGGGAACTGAAGGACTGAGATTGG